GGAACATTCATTTTTCTATTGCACTTAAATACTATTTTTAAATCATTTGGGATGCAAGGCTTACTGAGCAGATTTTTCTTGGCATGCAGACATGGTTTATTTCCCCTGGGCAGGTATCACCATTTAGTGGATATTGATGTGTCTTCTCTTAATCATTGCATGAGTGCTTTGAGAAGTCTTTGACATGGTAAGAGGTGTCCATAAGCCCCAGTCTCATCCTTAGAAATCTCAGGGCCTCAAAAGGACGCATGGCTTTCAAGTCCATACTTATTCCAAATCTTCACTGCCCACCTACCCACAACAGATAATAGAAGAGCCATGAAGTCCAACAAACTGAAACATGGCACTAGTTTCTAGCAACATACCAATTCTTTCAAACTTCTTTCTCAAAACTTGTTAGGAAACTGAGTCATGAGGGTATTAGAATAAAGAGAAAGCAGCAAATGACCTCAACAGACCAGATCAACTTTAATGGAAAGTTGAAGAGGGATGTCATGGTGACCTGAGGAGAGTTAGGAGACATGCAAGGCATGGTATGATGGAGACAGGGGTGGAGAGACTTAAGTAGTAGGGGTAATGGGGAGCAGGGGAGGGGAGGCGGTGGGGGGGGCAGAATCCCAGGTAGGTGGAGAGTTCTAAGAGTTTGGCCAGTTTATGGTACAGGTCTGGTCCCAAGAATCTATTGTTTGAACAAGTCTCCTGCCCTGCCTCTCAGGTACCCCTCACCTTAAGGGGTTGGGAGTGGGTTTTCATATTTAGATGAAGATCATAGGCTGGATACTGGGCTAGAGAATTTGGGGAAGATACCCTTGGGGAAGGGTAGTCAGGGTAGTCCGTGGGCCAAGCTCTGGGAGCAATACTGAGTTATGAGAACAAAGCAGATGCCTATCAAAACTCAAATCTCAGCATGTCTTCTTTGCTTAAAACTGCATTCAGAGTAAGATCATCCAGACAGCTTTAGAAGAGAAATTAGAGAAACCACGAAAAGTCAAAGCTGTTACTTTACTACTGTAGCCTTTTACCTCTAGATGTATTTTTTTAATTAGAAGAAAACACTGAACTTAGTGTTGAGTGGGTAAACCAGTTGTACTTCTGATTATTAATGTCTCTCAATGGTTCATCTCCTGAGAATGCCCCCATGAACTTTCTACAGCATTCATGAGGACCCATCACCAGGCTTAAGGTCTTAGTGTTACTATAGTGCCCCTTTCTTGAGTTTTTAGTAACTCATGAGTTTTGTTGTTTTTGGTAAACTCATTGTTATAACTGATGTGAATACAGTGTTAATATTTCCAACTCTTCTTATATTGAATTGTAGCCTCATAAATCATGAAACCTTTGCCTAGAATATAACAAATTTGCCTCAGAATTCTAAGGAATGGATCCTTCTTTTATGGCTCTGCCAAGTGACTCATTTATTCAACAAATACTGGTGGAAAGGGAGGAATGATTTCTGTCACAGACACTCTAGACAATGAAGCCAAAATGAAACAACAAAATCATCAATTACGATTCTTGTCTTTATGGGACATCCATTCTTAGGGCACAGTTGTAAGCTGTTAGTAACTGAATGATCAATAAAGTATGCACGAACAGGTGCTGTCATGCCAGGTGCAGTTGCTCATGCCTGTAATCTCCAGTGCTCAGAAGGCATAACTAGAAGGAGCATAGTTTGAGGCCTGCCTCAGGCAAAAATGGGAAAGTCTACCCACAAAATTAAAAATAAAAATAACTAAAGCATCATGGCTTAATGGGTGGATCCACTGCCTAGACAGTACCATGTTGAAGCCTTAATCCAAACCCAAACCCTAGTAGAAAAGAAAGAAAGAGAAAGAAAGAAAGGAAAGAAAGAAAGGAAGAAAG